TTTCAGCAGGTTAAGGGGCAGTCAGAAGTATTTCCAAAAGATTAGTACCAACTCACGCTGATTAGAGAGCCCAGAGGAACAATATTCTTGAGAAAAAGGCAAGATGCTGGACCTCCCCACGACTGGGGGAGGTCATCCCAGACAGCCTGAACCCTCCGAGACTGCAAAATGCAATTCCCCAGAATTGGCGCAGAAAAGCAAATGGTAAAGTTGTCTCCAAAAAAACCTCCTTCTAAGTAGTACGGTACCACTGACTGCAAAGACTGGCATTTGAAAAGCAAGTCCAAAGACTAACAGGGATTATCACCACCTACGCACAGCTGACTGATAGGCAAATGCAAAATTAATGCTTTCTTCTTAAGAGATCAATACCATCTTGCTAACATTAACAAGCAAAACCCATCTAAAAAAAAAAGAAAAGAGAAACAAACCACGACAGAAGCAGAGGCTGAACAACCGACTTCAGACTCTTAATGTCAGAGGACAAAATTAAAATGCTGCCTTCAAAAAAATCAGAGCAAGTGAAGAGCATGAGCCACAGAACCTCAGCTGAGTTGTTACCCTCTAGCACAGCCCCTCTCATACCTGGAATATCATGTCCAAAACTGCTTGCCAGCATCATGAATCATCACAAAGAAAATAAACATTTATTCCAGGAACTTTCTCTCTTTCTTTTTATGAGCTGCAAACGCATATACACCTCCATGCAGACATATAGCACAGGGCAAACATAGGAGAATATACCCCAAGCAAGTGTTCTCCCATGGACAATCTTAAACCGTCCAAGAAAAGGCGATTTTCCACTTTTACCTTCTGCTGCCTTTGGAGAGACATGCAATGAATCATCTTCTGCAGATTCAAATCAAAAGAGCATTCAAAAAGGGGATGTTCTGGAGTTACACTGCTCTTCTGGCTCATCTCAAAACCCCGCAGCAATGCCTCCTGTAAAGTTCTAATACAACACTGGAAATCTCAGCATCTAACAATCCTCCCACACGTTTGGTGACAAGAGTCCCCAGTAAGGGATCTTCTCTGATCCAAGCCTTACGTGGGAGTGCGCGTTCATACAAAATGCCAAAACAATACACAGACACACATCATGTCTGCAGATCGATTCTGACCTGTGGACACAACAATTTCAATTCAGAACTTGTTGTATGCATCCATGGAGTTGGATCAGGAGCAAACGTGGCCCTGGACCTGCATAAATTCTCACCTGAATACGCAAGGGCCAAGCTGCAACAAGATAAGCTTGCCCAGACCAAGACTGCTTTGGACACGCATGTGTTCCTGCAAGAGTTCCTGCTGCTCACCAGCTACCCTAGGAGCTTGAAAAATATTATTTAATATGTTCATAATTTCCATTGGCCACTGGGTTTCTTCCCCGCAAGGGTTGCAGGAGAGAAACAGAAAACCTTGCAAAGCATCCGATCCTATGAGTGTGTGCAACACCCACACGCAGAAAACCGCCTTTTTCTCTTGCTCAAAGCATCTATTTGGCCAGAAGTACAATGCTACTGACTCCTTGGGGTAAAATTATTTTCACTGGAGCTATGACAACATCCACCAGCTTTGCTCAGCCTGCTGTGTAAATAAGGGACTTTTGTAATATCCTGTGCAGAAGCTGAGCATGGGAAAGACACCCTTACATAATGTAATGAGCGTTGACCACACACTTGCTTACATACCCAGCCTAACAAGCCCTTGGCCACCTGCTCTGGGTACTGACCTGTATTTGCACAGACCTCAGACTGGTAGGCCTTTGGTTCCAGTCCTGGATTTAAGCACGTAGAGGGGAAAGGGCAGAGCTTACCTTCAAATAATGCGAGATCTCAGAAAAGCATCGCTAATTTGTACGATTAGATCCACTAGCAAAATTACTATGGTTAGTATGTTCCCAAATGCCCCAGCTCTAGGAATTGTGCAAATGAGAAACACTCGGTTTCATTTAAGAGCCTTCATCTTAAAAACAGTATTAGGAGGGCCTTCATATGACCACCTAGTTCACGCCCCAGCCCCGAGGCACACTAGCTAAACTCCGTTATTCCCAAGAGATGTTAGTCCAGCTGATCCTTAAACACCAACCCTGTGCTTCAACAGTTTGCTTCGACCTCTGTTCTGGCATTTCACCATACTAACCAAATACTCAGGGGGAAAGAAAAAGCTTCAAAGACAAGTTTCCACATGCACCTTGAAATATTAAAATAGCAGAAAGCAAGGAAAAAGAAATTATGTTTTTTGTACAAAACATGGTTTTAAAGTCAGCTTCATGATTTCTGGGATCCCAAGTGGTGCTTTTAGAAGACAAGGGGTTGACAGCATTACAAATCCATCACTCAAATCCTCAGGCGCTCATCACAGAAATGAAACCCAGCTTCTCATTCAAACCTGCAAGATCCCCCATCTCCTGTTTATCCACCAGAAGTTCCCTCTGCATCCAAGAGATGCACCTGCAGCATTTCTCAAGATCACTCACAAGATTCAGGAGTTTTAATCTCTCCTGCTTCAAACCAGAGCCAAAGCTGCTGAGAGGCACCTTGGGATGGAGACCGAGGGTTGCGAGACTTCTGGACACGCTTCCCAGAAGAAAGCCTTCTTCAGTGCACATCTGAGACTGCCCTCTCCCCCACGTCATCACAGAGCCCTTGGGTCCCCAGCCTTCCCACCACTGATGCTGAAGGAAGCAGTCGTGCAGCGGGGACCGGAGGAACAAAAGGGGCCCAGCCGGTGTGTTAGAGAATAACCTGAATAATAAGTAACTCAAACACCATCTGCAGGATTTTAAATATGAACAAAATACCACTTCCCAGAAGACGTTCTAGAAACAGAGAGTGGAATATAGAGGGGAAGAAGGTGTCCCTAAAGACTCAGCCAATTAACGTTTTGATAAAATTTGGCCTTTTTACCAGAACTCCACTGCTTGCTTTTTACCAGAAATGTGCCTAGAGATATATTTTCCTTTTGCTTGCTAATTAACTTGTCCAAATCTTTCCTCTGCTTCTATGTGATTTTAAGGACAGACTCAAATTCAGATTTTTCTCCTCCCTTGCACCTCTGAGGTCTGTCACACTTGGCAGAAGGCAGCACTGTGCCAACCAATGCTGTGTCCTACGAAGACCTGGATCTGAAGGAGACATCGGCCCCGGGGAGTTGCTTCTGCCCTCGCAGCTCTGCACTACTCTGCAACTCCATGTGCCTCTTGCTAGCTGCCTCGTCCAGAGCTAAAGATTATGAAGATGAATAATTATTCCCTCTTTTGCACCCCCAGGCTCCAACAATAGATACATCAATTACAAGCCTAACCTTTTCATTTTATTTTACTAAATAGTGGTAAATGGCTTATTTTACTGAGCTCTTCTGCAGCCTTTTATATCTAAACATGGCACTACAAGGCATAAATGGACCATGCGTATTCACCTCTTCCAAATTAACACTGGATGACTTGTACATGTAGAACAAGATCACAGTTAACAACATTAACACAGCCTGGATTCACAGGGCTCTCCGGTTCTTTGCTGTGTTTACCTTTATGGGATTAAGTACCTAATTACACAGTCAGTGCTAATAGCCAGGGGACGAAATTCAGGGTTTTTATAAGCAAGGGGAGTTCTGCTTAGGTCATCTACCTAGATGAGGTCTGAGCTTGACTTTACACCTCATTTCCAACACAGATTTGCTAACGGGGAGACAGACGGGCTGCATGCTGTCAGAGGGCACTCAGTATTAGTCTTTACGCAGTGCCCATTTGGCTACAGAGACATGCAAGGCACAGTTTTCATGACGGTGCTAACATTAGATGACTGGAAATGTCAATCCTGGGGATCATTTTTAGGCAGCGTAAAGCCTGACACTTGAGAAGACACCAAACATCATCACCTTTCCTGGAATAAGGTAGCAATCATTTTCTTTAAAAGCGAGAATCTAACTGTCTCCACTTGCTCAGGAGCAAAGTTTGGTGTCCAAGGAGCTAATAACCTCAACAAACCATGCATGGACAACAGCCAGAGGAAGGAGAAGGTTAAGAGATATACTGTAGTGTCTGAAATGGGTACAGAAAACCCCAGAAAATACCACACATCAGGTCTTTTCCACTCCTCTACCCCTGAGTTATCACATTACGATACAATTTCGAGTGCAGTCGGTGTCGGTATGGAGAAGACATCTGCTCTCAGCAGAACACACATATTCCCAGGCACCACCACACCAGGACCCCGTGGTTTGGCGCTGGCTGAGGCAAAAACAGAGCAAATGCACCGATGGTTTTTGGCATGGAAATGCTTCCACTGAAAGCTGCAAGCACGAGTTGTCGTTTTCAAGGCAACGCCATTTCATGTTTAACAGGCAAATCTACTCTGAAAAGGAGCGCTGAAAACTGGCACTTTCATCCCTCCCAGACACAATCCTCGGATATATTTAGTACTGTATTCACAGGTTTGGATCATAACAAGCAAACCTGTATTCTTCTGCCACAGGAGACAACGTCTGATTCAACTTCTGTCCCCTCCTTTCCGTAAGACAACAATCACGTTTTAAGCTAAAGACCACCTGAGCTTTTGTAATAAAACCACATTTAAAAAAAAAAACAAACCACATTAAAAACCACACACTATCTCACATCACTCTTTCCCCTTGATTTAAAAAAAAAGAAGCACGTAACAGCTAGCACTGAGCTTGATCTGTGTGTTCCCACCCCTGCTACTTGCTCATCCACACCTACGGGAGAAGATGAATACCTAACTCTCAAATAAACCCACTCATTTTGAGAGCCTCAGGACCAGCACTGATGAGAAAAACAGTTACTAAGGTTTGACCATCCCATTCTCCCCCGAATTTGCCCTTTTTGCCTTTCTGAAAAGTTTTTGGGCCTAAAACCCTAAATGCCAGAGACATTTCAGACTCTTCCTAAACACTAACAAAGGAAAGCAAGTGCCACAGAAAGGTAAACCGCTTGCTCACGTAACCCTAGGGACGGAGCAAGTAAAGCAGAGCGGGATCCTTACCTGCCAGGGCCTGGTTCACCTTGCTGGGTTTAGGCATCTTGACTGGCAGGTTTGGGGCACTGGAGAGAGAAAAGAAAAAGGGACACGTTCAACAGCATGGATCAATCACTAACAAAAGAGAGACAATTCAGCAGTGCACTGTTCCCTCCTGAGGGCCAGGGCCTTGGATACATTAATGAGGACTAATCGCTCAGATCAGCCCCACCTGGGGCCCCCACCCATGCACCCTTTGCCCACTGGTCCAGCAGCTACATTTAAGGAGCACAGTCCTTGCCAGAGCTATTTAGTAGGCTTACTTTTCTCCAAGGTGGACCTCAGATCTGGGTTGTAGGTGGCTGTCTCCATCTCCTCCCAGATGGATGCTGGGCCTGACTCATCCCTTCCTCTTGCTGGGAACTGTTGGTGCACCCTGTTCTCAACCCCTTGCTCTGATCCTGTGATGCATCCCTGCTCTTGCTGTTCCACCATGGAGCTTCCTGTGAACAGCCAACCTGCACGATGATGGACTGCTGCACCAGCAGGTCCGTGGCAGGAGCACACAGCTGGGAAACACTGGGATGCAGCAGCCAAAGTTCATCTTAAACCTTCCAGGTGATTTGGTCTCCAGCCAGGGAAACACCACTCACCAGAAAGTGAACCCTCCTGCTGTATGAGAAGTTGCAGCTGTACAGATGACAGGAAGCAAGCATTATTATCCCCCACTGCTTTCCAGATGGGGAAACTGAAGTAAAGAAAGGCCAAGAAAAGCACTCGAGCACATGCAGCTATAGCCCTGGGTTGAATGCAATCAAGCCTTGACTCTCCCTGTGCATTCAAGGGGTTACTGCAAGGTGTGGGAACAAGGGAGGAAAGGTTGAAGGAGATTTAGAAGAGTCTGGCACCCGCCTTCCTTTGGAAATCAAGAGGGTTTGGACAACAAACATCCCCCTCAGGGTCCTACCCTACTGGTTTTGACAGTGTTTCCCAGCACTGGCAGCTGCCCCTCAAGCTAGTTTGGGATACACAGGCAGGCAAGGTCATGCCATTAGCTGACAGCAGAAGCTGGGAAGGAAAGGGTGAGCAGCAGCATGAAAGCCAATGAGGGGGGTCACTAGAGGAGAAAGTAAGGTGGAGCCACACGAGCAGAGCAGGAACATTTGAAATCCAACATGCTGGCATAGAGAAGCCACCCACAGTCTTTGTCTCAGGTGGCACATGTGCCTGGGATGGATGCAGGCTCATGCGTATCAGCTGCAGTTAATACATGGTACCTTCAGACAATCATTTCCAAGGACTCCCCAAAATTACATCAAACCTGGCCAGTTTCTTAGGAATTCACAGAGACTAAGGTGCTCGAGTGCCCAAATGCCATCCACTGTCTAGGTAGAACCTAATTCTCTCCAGCTGGGATGGAAGAGCTGCCACTGTGCCCTAAATAGCATCAGACAGAGGTCCCTCCTTTCAGCCTTGCTAAAATCTTTGTCCACATTTCCACAACAATGACCAGAGCTGAAAAGATTTGTGAGTGGCACATGGTTGTCTTCCACCCTTACAACAGGGACGCATCCCCACCTCCCTCCTCTCCTACCTGCCGCAGTTTGAAATAGGTTCCCGCACACGTGCTGAGCTCCCAGGGCTTGGTGCTGCGCTGACAACATGGCCAAGTGAGATCAGCTCTTCCAGACCTTTAAAAAGCTCTCCAGACCGCAGATGTTTCCCTTCTGTCTCTTTCAAAGACTGTGTTTTCCCCTCCGCTGCCCCCAATTTTGCAATGTCTTCTAATGATGCAATGGATGCAATGCAATGCCCAATTCAAACCCACTGAACACAGTGGAAATCCTTCCCCCATTTTTAAAGGGCTTTGAATCAGATGCTGTGACTCCTCTTTACGACTTTTTTTCCTTCCCGATTCAGTCTCTTTGTCACAGCTTTCTTAGGTATTTCCCTCCTCCTTCTCTATCTCACCCCTTTGTTTAATTTCTGCTCCTACCACCCTCTTCAGATGATGGCTAGCAGCAGGGCTGCTCTCTCTCCACCTGCAGACAAGGAGGATATCTGAGGACCAGATAATGAAAAGGAACTTGAGAGACCTGCTCCCAAAAATCAAAGGGGCATTGAATGTCCCCTCCTTCCCCCTCCAAGTGAGCAGCCAAGAAGTCAGTACAGTGCCCGTGATCGATACCGAAGAGCTTGTGCTTCATCGTCACACCATGAAGCACAGCAGCTTGAGTGCTTTCGCTTCCCCATGGAAGCTAAAAATACAATAGAGCACAAAGCTGAACCTTCTGCTCTGCCAGCAAAGTGGGATTCTTCCGAAGGGCTGGAGCACAGGGTCATTACACCTGAGGTTGAAGAAAGCAAACCCAAGCTGCTCTGGGAAGGGGATCACTGGTAACCACACTTCGAGACTGGCAGGGAAATTCTTCACTCTTCTTCTCTGCATTGCAAGGCTCAAGTCCAAGTCACCCAGGAGCTAGGGCTTCTACGAAGAGAGAAGAGCCCTTGAGATGTGCAGAGGGAAATGGATAAGCAATTGATGCGTTTGCAAGCAATCAAGCTTTGGAAGCTGTGAGTGCGCTGCAGATAAATTACTATCCATCAGCCAGGAAACAGTCACTGATCAGCTGCAGTCCTGGTGTAAAGGCAAAGCATGTCAGCTTTGACTGCTGGAGGCTTTAAGCTAACTGATTTGATGATGGAGAAACCAAATACTTCTTATTTCACACGGGCTGAACACACGCACATTCAGGGAGGGCATCTCAGCTAACAACATCGAAGGATGTGCTGACCCATCCACTCGACACCGTGTGAGCGCACCGGCGGGACTGCCACGCACCGTCATTTCTTTTACATCTGCAGAAAGCCCAAACCTAAGGCTGATGAAATCAAGGGAAATCCACGCTGCTTTGAGGTACCTCTGCCACAACACTGCCTGGGCAGCCTGGGCAGATTGGCAGCCACAGCGTGTGAGAGGAAGCATTGCCACGCCAAAAAAGGTGCAGAAACGCTACTCGGAGCCTACCGTGGGTCTGAAGTGGGGGTTTTTTGAGGAGGAAGGGGAAGAGGTAAGAAGGAAGGATATTGCTTTTGTAGTATAACACAGGCTCTGCCTTTGACTCTGAGAGCAGGCTCACCAGCAGCACGAACAGACATATTTAGTCCATCGGCTCGTACCCAAGCTACTCCAGTATTGCCATACCAGTGCTGGCTTCTTGGGAGGAAGCCGGAGTCAGGCTGGGGTGAGGTCCTGCTGATTTACTCAAGCCAGGTTCAGTCAGGAGAAAACTCGATGCAGGCAGGCTGGTGGGGGTCTCTGGTAAGGGAGATCTGGAGAGCACCAGTGCAAAAGCAAGCACTGCAGTGTGGAGAGATGAGAGATCCACCAAGACACCTGCTCCCACTGTCTCTGCTGCCCACAGACGAGATTTCTAACCACTCAGTGCCTTTGACTCCTAGTCAAACGTTCAGGCTGCAACACCTGAAAGTCAATGCTTGAATTCTCTGAACATTTCCTGGTATCGATTCCTCCTCCCTGGTCCAAATTTGTCCTGCCATTAGCTGCAGCTCCTGCTCTCCCGCAGCTCTCTACGCTGGAGGTGACCGAGTGCGACAGCGGTCACCAGGTTGTGAAGAAAAGGATGCAAAATAAGACACTGTCCTCAAAGACTCAGCAAGAAGATCCCGGTAAGATTTCCCACCACCAGTTCCCGGACAATCTGCTAAGGGGAGCAGACTGGTATTTCAGCATGACAAAACCACTCGCTTCTCCAGAATTTCGAGATACTGCAACACCAGTGAGACAGCAAAGCGCAAGACCAGAGAGGAAGCGTAGTGTCCACAGCTGCTGCCATTTCAAACCCTGGGCAGCCACGTTTCAGCTGAACATCACTTCAGCCGTACATACACAATATCCTAATGGAGAAGAAGTTTGTAGCAACTCAACATCTCCACCCGATACAGCCCTTCTTTCCTCTCTCCCTGCACACCAGCCAGCAGGCCACATATTCCTGTATCATGGCATCTCTGTAGCCCTCGGGACAACAGCCAACACTTCTCTTCCCAGATCAGGGCTGCATCCAGCCCTGCCTCACACTAACACCAAATGCTACAAAAACACCCCCATCCCAGGGCTAACCAAGTGTATGATGACACTAATGACCCTACAGCAGTTTCTCCCTTACCTTTCTTCCCAAGAAGATGCCAAAACCCAGACCGAATCCCTCTAAAGGAGGGCCTGTATGGTGCGCTGCACACAGCCACGTAGATCCGTGGTTTTGCTCCTGGCACTAAGCAGAGGAGATTCCCTTGTTCCCACTTGGGAAGAGCACCCAGTGGCAGAACCACATGGGCTAACAAAGGGCTGCAGGACAAGTCACGCTGGGTCCAGCAGAACCCCCCCTCACCTCCTGAGGAGCTTGTGGGTATGCCTATGGACAAAGCTGAAAGATGCAAAAGGAGGAAAGAGAAAAGGAAAAGCCCTGCCCAGGTTCTGGTCCCTCAGTTACACCTTGTGATCCTACCATGCCCTTCCCCATGCGATATTTAGGGGCTCAGCACCAGACCCTTCTTAGGAACACCACAATACTGTAAGCATCCTTCCCCAGTCCCCAAGACCCCCATTCCCCAGGTTTTTAAAGAAAATCCTCCCCCTACCCCAAGCCGCTTGCCTTATTTGTAGGCACAACCTAGACCAGCACCCAAAGCTGCGTAAGCTCAGAGGGGTCAGCAGAGCTGTAGTGGGGATTTGCCTGGCCGGGGCACTAATTAATATATCCCCAGAAGATTGCTTCCTGCAGCTTTACTTGTCCATATTACAAGCAGTGCACTCCTTACCATGTTTCAGGAGTGCCCTTCTCTGTAATTAGCCAGCACGGTGCAGGGAACAGGGTAGCCCTTGCCCCAAGGATGGATGCTTTCCTGCGTGGGATGGGAAGGATCATGTCAGGAGGTGGCTGGGAGCCTGGGTAGCTGACCCCTGCTTCACAGATCTGGTTAATGGCACCGATATAAGGACGTGACCCTTGCCGTGGCACGCTGCGTCTGCAGATTTCAGTGCTGTCTGTGAGAGGCCGGATTCATTAACTGTGTTTAAAACATGGGAGGAAACTAATGCACCAAGAAGCAAAATAACTTGCCCACGTGTATTTAATACATTAGCAGCAGAGCCAAGGATATTAGCATCTACTTAAGCCTTGGCACTCCTCTCTGGGTGTTCCAGCGACTTTGACCCTCTTGAGAACAGGGAGAAATTAAACCTGCATTTTGAAGTGCCCGAGCTCCACCCTCTCTCACACCAGCATCCTCCGTCCAGCCCCGCAGCAAGCAGGAAATATATTTATTCACCGCCAATGCCACAAAAGCCCAGGCATGCCTGTGCTACTAACAGCCTGTAGTGGGGGATATCCCTGCCTGCCTATTAGAAATAACTGTCACAATCACACAGGGAGTTAGGCAGCTTTCCAGGATGAACTACACCCCTTTCTCAGCCCTGCAGGAGAGATGTTTGCTTCAGTGCTGCCATTTTTAGCTGCATTTACTAAAGAAACTGGGTGTACACAACGGCACTGTCTTTCAGTCTCTCCTTAATAGCTTTTGAGCCCTTCTGCCAGTTGCAGCTCAGCTCCAAAAAGCAGGAGCTGGGTTGTCCCTGCAAGCAGTTTTGTAAAAGCAAGTGATCCGTCAGGGCTGCTTTGAAGACAAAGCCTGCAGGGTGAAACACAACACAACGTTTATTAGACACCAGAGGATCCACCGTGGCCCGCTGCTCTCTTCCCTTTAGTTTCTGAGCATGGGCCAGCACAGGAATTGCACATCACAGCTAAGAGGAATGAGCAATGCTGCACACTGGATGCAGACAGAAACCCTTGGCGGGCTAATTAGGGCAGGCTAATTAGGGCTTCGTCTTCACTGCCACAAAAGTTGCACTATGCGGTGATGCAGGAGGAGACGGGGCAGCAACTCTGAGGGAAAGGGAACTAACCACCATGCCACGCCAAGTCCAGCTGAGGGGGGAAGATGGGGAACTTAAGGGATAAAATAACCCAGGAATGTTCTGGGCTTAGGAATTAAATGAAACACATTGTTAGTGTTTGCTGCTCAGGTTTCCCCTAATTCACAGAAATTAGAGTATTTTCTGCTGGAACATGGGTTTCGTGAGCCTGAGACTGTAACCCCAGCCAGGAGCAATTACACCCACCCAGCAGCATTTCCGACCCAAACCCAGCACAGGGGTGGCAGGGCAAAAGCCATCTCGAGCTGTCAGCTGGCGCTGAAAAAGTCCCTTTCACATACAGCACTATACTGGAAGACAGAGATTGTCCCCCTGCGTGCATTTCTCTGTCTGGCAGGGAGGAAAGAGAGTGCCCCTGGCAAAACTAATCCCAAAGGACTGGAGATCCAGACATCGTCCATCATCCATGAAGAGCCACCAATGCACATCTTTGTTCTGCCCTTTTCTGGGGTCTGTTTGGGTGAGCCCCCAGCTGCTGCCTTCCTCTGGGCTCAGCACACAGTCACGGGCTGGATCTGTGACCCACACATGCTCCTGTGGGGAGGTATGGAAAACAGAGGCTTCCACAGATACGTCTAGTGGAAAACACTGGTGTTAATGAACAGAAAGTGAGCTGTAGAGATAAAGACAGGTCCTAACACCCTGCTTGCAAAACCACCTCCGCGACAAGCCCCGTAGCCAGGCAAATGCCCACCAGCATCCCTATGTCTGGGCCAGGCTTGGGTCCTGCCAAGGGTCCACGTCACTCGTCCCACAGCAAGGCCGGGCAGCGCACCCGTGCTCAGGGCACACTCGCAACCCAGCATGGACGGGCAGCCAGGAGCGTGGGGAGCAAGGCTCACAGCCAGGGGTGCAGGCTTTGCACAGAGGGGGCCCATCACACAAGTCTGCCAGCACTCACATGCTCCCTTCCAAGCATCCAAAGAGCTGCTGCCTTCCCTGCATGGCACGTTCTGCTGTCCCCCGCAAAGATAAACTGTACGATCTCTTCGCATCCCCCAGAAAGGCTGGCTTGGCCAGGGATTATTGCCAAGATACCAGCCACCTCACCCCTTGCACACCACGAACAGCTGATCTGCCAAACAGGTTGCAACAGCCAGACCTTGACCAGCCATGGCATTGCTCGTCCATGGCCAACGCCACCAGTACCGCAGAAGTCCCAGCGCTCCGGAGGGGGCTCTGCTCTCTGCTGCTGTCCCCAGGCTGGCCGTCGTGGAAGAGACCAGATGCTCCTGCCACAAAAGCCACCTTCAGCAGTGCTTGAGAAGGGACCAAGCTCGAGCAGCTGGTCAGGGAACATAGAGGCCTATGCCAGCCCCGCAGGGCTGTTGCATTAACCCCGCAGAAGCTCTGCCAGCACTCACCCGTCAGAGGGTTTAAACCAG